TATGAAAAGAAAAGGGGTGTTTTTCATATTAGGCTATCAAAACTTTTCCATTCGAGAATAACACCTTTTTTTTTTTCTTTTAGTTCTTTATAGGTAGATCAATGATTCATGTATGTAGTTTAAAATGTGATTGTTACACAATCAACTATTTTAAAATATAAGAAATTTTCAATAAGACGGTTTTTAAAAATAACTTTTAAAATATACATCCCTAGATTTTAAAATGGTTTCAAATGATTATTTAAATTAGTTTGTCGAAAATGGCGTGGACAAAAATATGATATGATAAATCGAGCGACGTATTCGTTGGGTTGGATTGGATTGAAAATGAGATTTTTAAATAATGTTTTGTTTTCAAATTAAAAAGAAAAAAACAACTTAAAACAATTTTAAAAGGTTATGATCACAGTTCAGTCCTTGTTATTTAAACCTTTATAATGCATAAGATTATGTGATATATGTTAGGCAAACTTGTGTAATAAACAATATATATCATACTATTATATCGAGTTAAATTTTAGTCAAACAAAAATTTACCCTAATAATAAAATGTTTAAATAATATTTTTGGTAATTTTGGTTCATTTTCTAGTCTCTATATTGGCTATATTTCAAGAAGAAAAATTAGTCACTAAAATGTCATGCTAGAATTTTAATTGAAATAAATGAGATAAAAATGAAAATAAATGACCAAAATAGTTATTTTTAAAAGGGATAGGGACCAAAAGACAAAAGTTGAAAGTATAGCAACAAAAATAAACGATTAAATAAATTACAACTAAAGTTGATAAGTGTAAAATTTGATAAATAAAAATAAAATGAAACCTTAATTAAAAAGAGTGAGAAATAATAAATTTTAAAGAAAGAAAAAGAAACACATTATTCACGAGAGAGAGAGGTTATGGTCAATAATTATGGGCTAATGGGTCACATTGAGGCAGTTGGAGGCATAATTTTGACCATTAAAAAAAAAAAAAAAAATCAACAACGGCTACCATCTCACCAATCAAGTCTTTGTTTTGCTTTTTAACGGCACCGATTACTTTTAGACTTTTCTGTTTACAAAATCTTTTACCCAAGTACTCAACTCTCTCTCATTGTTCTTCTTTTTTCTTTTCTTTTTTCTTTTTTTTTCTTTTTTTTTTACTTTATAATCATTTTTGGGAGGGGATTTTTTGGTAGGATTGTGTAGAACCGTTTCAATGTTGGTTTTAGAAAGTTGTAGATAGTTATTTTAATGCGTGTACAACCGTATTTGTTTCTTTAAATTATTCAATCGTAATTTAGGGTTGGTTGTAGTGAATTTGTTGATATGTTAACAATAATTTTTTAGTAGTCAAATAGATCCCTGTCGAGGTAAATAAGTAACCTTCGTCATAACGAGAGTGTTGTGAGACAAATTGATCGTTGTATGAGTTTAATTGAAGCGTAGCGTAGATTGTCATGATAGATGACAACATTGGAGCCTCAATGGACGTTCAAAGAAGCAATACGAAACGCAATACTAATCAGTCAAAGTCAATAATTTAAAAGTGAAGTCTATGTATACTAAATCTAGTTGAAACATAGGTCGACTCAACAAAAAAATGTAGATGAAAAATGGTTACATCACTTGCTGATTAAAATATATAATTATTTTCTAATGTATTGTTGTGTATGAGATATGTTAAATTAATGCTATAAATCATCTTTCTAAATGGTAATTTAAGAAAACATCTACATAATTTAATCAAATAGAAGAATGAATTTGGAACGATTCATTGTCCAAGATCAAAAGAAAAAAAAAATTGCAACTTATCTTTTATAAATTGAAGTAGACTAGATATTGATATTGAAATATTAGGTTTGAATTCTAATAAACAATAATTTTAAATGTAACCACGAATGATAACAAGCCTAGTGACTTTCCTCGTCTTTTTATATAGATGACTTCTTACTCATTGAAAATGATATAAAATTATTGTAAGACGTAAAAAGTTAACTCAAAACGTTAGCTCTATTTCAAGCATCTTATATTTTAATTAAAAAAGTTGAAAACGAACCAAAAATAAATCAAATAAAAACATAAAAGAATCAAATATCACCAAATACTACAAATCATTTCATTTAGACCACCCTCAAATGGTAGAGCAACCGAGAAATTTTTCACAAATGAATCTCTTTATTTAAAACATTAGAAAAATTAAAATAATATATTAAAAAAACACCTAAACTTCAGAAATGCAAAACAAAATTATAATTTTATTGGATAAAGTTCGATCAAACATGTAAATCTACCAACAAAATCAAATTTCATTTTCTACAAGTCTAACAATGGAAAATGCAAACAGCAGTGTGTAACAATAGCTTCCCTAATAATACAAAATTTGGATAGTACAAGTTATAGTAACTTGAAGTTAGAAAATAAAAAGTCCTCAAGTTTATAAATGATTAAAGACACATTTCGTTGGATTAAATGATAAATTTGACGAGGGTCGAAACACGAGCCCCCAACCCGTCGCATCGATTGCAGGTCGCCCTTGAATTAAATCATAAATAGTGGTTTGAAAAATGACTTCTTTCAAGCGAACATATTAGGGAGAGGCCTCACTGCCATAAACGCATCCACCATCTGAGAAGAACAAAGTAGGTCATGTCAGCCAAATCTTGCACTTAAAATAACCAAAAAAATTCAATTTTTTCTAAACATCCGTGATTGTTCAAGCCAGCTTTCACATACCTCGACAAATTTCACAAGATAGCTATCTAACCCTACTATATTTAGTTGTCAAAGTACTCGTAAGATATTAAATCTAAGGTAGATGGCCACCATGGTTCCACTGACTAAGACATAATACATTTGTCTTAAAAGGTCATATATGTTCAAATCCTCACCCCGCACGGTTGAATTAAAAGAAAAAATTACAGAACTTTTCTCATGCATTGTAGCGAGGCTATGGCTGTCTAACATTTCTATTATCAGTAAAATTCTTCATATGAAACAAAGGACAGCAGCACTATTTTTGGTCGTTCTTACAGTTTTGATTCTCAATAGCAGCAAAGTAGTTTTAATAGAAGAGTTGGGCCTACTAATATTGCTTTAACCCAAGCCTCACTTTTTAGTGCTTGTCTACAATAAAATTGTCCAAGTATTTGTATTCTTCAAGTCTTAGAAGGAACGCTTGCTATTCAAAATAAGGGAAATTTTCATTTTTCCCCACATAAAAGAACTAAAATCTGACTTTTTTATTAAAAAAAAAAAAAAAAGAACTTAACTTAAAACCAAAATATCAAAATCCAGCAACGGGACATCCATCATAGCCAAAAACCAATAACCCACAAAAATAGCCTTGTAGTAAATGGCCTTGTTCAACTATATATTAGAAACACTCCAACAAGTCACAAATCTTAAAGACAAAAATGAGAACTCAACAAAAGGTTATTAATTTCACCACTAAGATTCAAGTTAATGAAATTAAACTTTAACCAAAGTAAAAAATTAACGTTTATTTAACAAGAAATAGAACTATGGTACCATTAATTATTATAGCCACACCAGACATGAAAGAGATAATAACAAATAGTATCGTCATGATCAGAAGATGAAATGCTATGATACCAGATTTAGACGAACTACTTGAGGATAAATATGCCTCACATAAAGAATGCAACAAACTTACCTCGTCTGTCACAGCAGCCCGAGCTCTACGATGTCTTTCTACCATTTCAGTTAATACTTGTATAAGCCGCTGCTTCACCTCACCTGTCAGCATGCGTCCAGCACCATACTCCTAAAACAAATAATGGATTAAAGTTATGTTTCTTATAGGCTCTAGTCATGCCAAAACATTGTAAAGATGAAAAAACGGGCCATCAGAATATCAACTCCACAGAACAAGCAATCTCACCTTTGTTATGTGTTCAAGTTCGACATCGTCGTCCAGGAAGAAGTTCAGGTATTTAATGGGTATATCTACCTGTATAGTTTATAAAAAAAAGTTGACAGCAATTACACATTAGAAATTTCTAAATTTTCTTGTCAGACACCTGACTAGAATATTGACTGGATTCTTGGAGGCAGGGGGAAATAATGTGAATGTGGCAATGCATAGTGCGCACAAACAAAAATAATAATGATAATGAATTTTGAATTTTTAACAACATTACACCTTTTTAAGTACTTTCAATAATAAGAAACTAAGATTTCATTAGAAAAAAAATTAAATATATCTAAAATTTCAAGAGCTAAAAAAGGCATTCCAATTTGAATAGACAAAAGAGGATAAATAATTATAGAACTCCTTTCAGCGATAGCTCCATAAAGAAGCTACCCACACCACAGGATAGTATCCCATAAAACTCTACCTCTCAACAAAGCTTTTAAAAAATTGCAAGAAAATGTTTTCCTTTTTTTTTTAACGGGGAGTTGAGCTTTGCTCTGGCTCCCCTAGACCCAAGGGCACCCGCGCCAGCCTAAAGACCCGGACCCAAGAGACATCAAGGGTTTTTTGTATTGAGCTTGCTAGAGGGTTCGAAGCTGAGACATCTAAAAGTCAGTATGACCAAGAGACCACAAGCCCTTGCCAACTGAGCTGCTCCTTAGGATCTAATTGCAAGTAAATGTTAAAAAACATCTCTGAAAAATGAAGCCAAAGGACTTCAGTTTCCTTTTTCAGGATACCATCAAAGAGAGAGAACATCAAATCTTGTGTCGACTTAGGGAGTACAAGCTAACAAACAAAAAGTTAAAAAAGATTTCACAGGCATCAACCAGTTTCATCTGGTCCACCACCACACCAATCATTATATTTCTATAAATACTGAAGACTCCGACTGTTTTCATACAGCTCCAACAATACTTCGTTGTAAGGTCTTTGCTATTAGCTAACATGTAAATGAAAAGCAGCAAGCGGAGCTTGAAGAAGCGAGCCCCTATCAGAGAAAGCCATTGCGCGCTAGCCTCTTGTTTGTATAGGGTTCCAAACCTGCGCACCCCTAAACTAAAAGCTTTGAAGCCCCAACTTTTTTTATGGGATATTTGAAGAAAGAAGCCCCTTCATTATTATTAGTAGTAAGAGTAAGGTTTTCAAAAGGCGTAGACAAGCTACCTTTATGAAAAACCTTTGAGTTTAGGGGTAAGGGGGCGCTAACGAGCAAGAAAAGGCCCCTTCCTATATCGAGAGATAGGCTAAGGCGCCTTTACTATCTAATAGTGGGCCCCTCTTTCCTTTTTTGTTATTGAAAAAGGGGCAACTTTCTCGCTTGTTGCTTTAGAATCTCACCACATCATTCCCAAAGGGCCATCTGCTGACCACATCATTCCAGAATCTCACTTTCAACCCGCAGGCTATAGTACTAGCTGATTTCTTACTCTTCATACCACACTTTCTGGAAATGAACTTATGATTTTAAAATATAGAGCAGTATACAAATACACTTGAAAACAGATACTAAAATGTGTTTGCTTTTTCTTATGATAATAGTAAAATGTGTTGTGAAGTCTATCTGTCTATAGCATGTTGTATCTGGGTCTAGATGTCAACAATGCTTCTTAATTTAGGACTCATATTATTAAGCTTAGAATGGATAAAAAGACTAAAGACAGAACTAAACCTTTCTATTTCCCTTTTTGTATTACTTTTAAGTCATATATTATAAGTAAAGTCTAAAATAGCTTGACATTTTAGAAAAGTTTCAACTTTATAGCAAAGCAATAAATGAAAATAACTTATACCTCGAGATTTGCACCATATAATCTGTGCTTCTCTATGGAATCTTGGCCACCAGAGAATGCATATTTGTTTATCTGTAGAAAATAAACATAATCCCAATTCAAAAGGAAAAGACAAATTAATGCCATTGTAAGAGTATTGGATGAAATGTACATACTTTTCCAGTTAAGAAACAATTAATCGATTAGCAAGCAGAACATCTAATCTACGAATCACTACTACTCGTAACTAGACAAGTAATCACACTGACATACACTACTACTCGTAACTAGACAAGTAATCATACTGACATACATGTCACTGTTATCAGTCATCACAAACAATAAAGCTCCTCCATGGTTAAAAGTAAATTAGCAACTTCATGAAAATCTGAAAGGCAAAACTGTCATGTAAGCTCCATATTATGTGATCTTGTTAGAGAGGGTGAGATAATTTAACATTTCTACTTCCTCGGGGGAATAGTAGTAGAAAGAGGAATTAGTCATTGTAGGCATAAAACCGGGGGAAGGGGGAGCACCTAACCTAGTGACTTGGATGTTTTATTCTAAGAAGCACGGACACGACACGACACGGACACGGCGATACGCCAATTTCTAAAAATATAGGACACAGACACGTTGGGGATACGTTATTATTATTTTTTTTTTTAAGATAATATATACATATGAATTGATTATATAATACTTTTGCATAAATTAACCACACAAATTGAACAAAAACAAATCAAAATATACTTAACATCACAAAATCCATTATCCAACCTACATTAAATTTAAAAAGAAGTGGTCGGAGACGGCAGCAGAAGTGGCCGGAGATGACGGCGGCAGAAATCGCTGGTAATGGTGGCGACGATGGTCGATGGTGGGTAGGGTTTTGTTGTTTTGGACTTTAGTGTAGGGTTTAGGGTTTTGTTGACTGTGGAAGGGAGAAGGAGAACACAAAATAGAACACGAGGGTTTCTGTTTTATTAAGTTTTCTCTTTTTTTTTTTAATTCAAAATAGGTTGGGCCCAAGCCATTTGGGTCGTGTCCCCCTGTGTCCTCGCGTGTCCGAGGAGTGTCTGAAATAAAAAAAATAAAAATAAAAAATTGGACACACCATGTGGCGTGTCGGACACGTATCCGGGACATGTCCGGCCGTATCGGTGTCCGATACGCGTCCGATACGGACACTCCACCTAAAATGGAGTGTCCGCGCTTCCTAGGTTTTATTGAGAACTTCAAAGAACAAGAAAATACAATGAGATAATCTCAAGTAATTTGAGGAACCCAGTTTCCTCCTCGAGGAAGCTCAAGCCCACCATACCATGCCCTAGCCTCTAGCTCCCCTGACCCTCACAATTTATAACCACCATTTCCCAGCAAATAGTACTAATAATACACTCATAACAATATCTCTAACACCTTATCCTCAAGACCCTGATCAGGCAATTGAGCTAGAATGACACAATTGCCTTCCTAATTCACGGCTAGTAATTTGAAATTTCCAAGTATAGTAGTGTGCCCTTGAGCTATAGATGCCTGTTTTGAGAACGTACAAAGGCCATGGTTATGGGACAATCATCCAAGAACCAAATCCCACCTTCAATACCCACCCGGATACTAAAGTGTAAAAGGCCTTAATACCTTCAACTTCATAAAACAACTGATATTCATCTTCGAACCATTTTATTTGCCTTGTGCTATGAGTTGGAAACCTTTTTTGAAAAAAAATCCTCAACTGTAAGTAGTCCATCTAGCTTCCTTATTATAACACATGCAGCAACCATCTGGAAACATAGAGTAGCCCACTCCCCTCCCCTAAATTGAAATGCACCTGTCCTTCATGGCATCATCATATCCAGTGCCAGACATCCTGATCAAGTGTTGGTAAGTCTGATTCATGAATCCCACCATTAAGGCCACCGAGCTTTGATCTCAAATTCCTACAACTAATTTCCCGATGATCAGCACTTACCATTAGTGATGTCTGCTAGTGTGGACAGACTACTACCCTACCTATGGTATCAAGGTTGGCTCCAAACTAAGGAGACAAAGATCATACGAGTCTGAAGAGAGAGTAATGTGTTAGGCTAAGAAGCACGGACACAGACACAGACACCGGACACGGACACGACACGGCGATACGCCAATTTCTAAAAATATAAGACACGGACACAGACACGTTGGGAATACGTTATTATTATTTTTTTAAGATACTATATACATATGAATTGATTATATAATACTTTTGCATAAATTAACCACACAAATTGAACAAAAACAAATCAAAATATACTTAACATCACAAAATCCATTATCCAACCTACATTAAATTTAAAAAGAAGTGGTCGGAGACGGCAGCAGAAGTGGCCGGAGATGACGGCGGCAGAAATCGCTGGTAATGGTGGCGACGATGGTCGATGGTGGGTAGGGTTTTGTTGTTTTGGACTTTAGTGTAGGGTTTAGGGTTTTGTTGACTGTGGAAGGGAGAAGGAGAACACAAAATAGAACACGAGGGTTTCTGTTTTATTAAGTTTTCTCTTTTTTTTTAATTCAAAATAGTTGGGCCCAAGCCATTTGGGCCGTGTCCTGTGTCCCTCCCAGCGTGTCCCCCCGTGTCCCCGCGTGTCCGAGGAGTGTCTGAAATAAAAAAAAATAAAAATAAAAAATTGGACACGCCACGTGGCGTGTCGGACAAGTGTTCGGGACGTGTCCGGCCGTATCGGTGTCCAATACGCGTCCGATACGGACACTCCACTTAAAATGGAGTGTCCGCGCTTCCTAGGTGTTAGGTCATTTTCCATTTGGGTTGAGCTCTTTACACCACCAAGATCAAGATGTAATCTACAAGAGTGAGCCTTACTACCCTTCCAAATATTTTAGCCCTTGAATGGGCTGTCGCTCCCAAGAAATTAATGGCTTGATAGAGAGGAATCTTGAATGTCCACCCCCAACTTCTTCATGAAGTTTCAGCCCACCTGCATAATGCCCATGAGATGGAAGCCCAATCTCCTTGCTTGCTCCCTCATTCGATCATAGATGGAAGCCCAAGCTTTAGCCCTACTTTTACCCCTCTTGCAAAAACTACACCATCAATATTGATGCTTCTTACCTAGTTGTATGTGCCACCTTGCCTAATCCATTTAGCATAAGTTCCTATTACCAATGGCGTTTGCCTCCATGTTTTACATTTTCAGTTCCTTGAACTACTCTTCTCATCTCAAACACACGCAAGTTATATTTGATCAACTCTCACACCTACTCACTCCCCTCTCACTAGTTTTTAACTTGGTCACCACTATAACAGACTTGCCTGATGCCTGTTCCATGCAATTTTGAAGTCTATTCCACCCAAATATGAGATTTCCTAACTTGATCCAATTCACTTTGTGTGAAACATAGTATGGTTTCTTTTTCAAAATATTTCTCTCACAACAACGTTCACAAATGACCTCAAGGATACAACCAATTCACTACCTTTTCCTCAGTCATCAAATAGAACCTTTACACAAGAGTTATCCAACTAATGAACAAAACCCTTCCACCAATAGCCTAATTCCTGGCTTGCATGAACCATGCAGTTCTTTCTCCCTCTGAACATTGTTACAGAACCTAGACGCTTCCAGAGAGACTTTAATGCTGCATTTCTCTAACCAGGAAAATGAGTGAGAACTCCTATGCATCTAGGAAAACTTCAAGTCGGCAGGAGAATGGACAAGGGATTTAAATTTTTAATACTCACTCAACAAGAACACATATATTTCAGCACAATAAAGTCTTCATAGAAAACAAATTATTAGAGAAAGAACTGAAACCTTATTTTTTATGTCTTTTGCAGAATCAGTCACATATATGGCAGAATTTGGATCACTAGCAGACATCTTTCCATTCTCCCCCTGCAGATAAGACATTGAGATAATAAGAACGCAATTGTGACACACAAATTAATGAAAACAAGAACCATCAGGGATCTTTTAATCACACAAAATCGCTGGAACCATAATTATATAAACTAAAGAGAAAAATGTTTAGTACGGAACAAAATCAAGGAGAAATCAATAGGTAGAAAATGAAAAAGATAAAACAATATTTTTTAAGAACTATAGACATGATAACTCAAACATAAAAGTCATCCAATCATAAACATCATTCACAAGTCTAAAACCAAGCCCATGCATTCCGGCAAGTAAAGTAAGCACTATTTTTTTTTTTTTGATATCTGTGAGTGTTCGAGCTAGCAAGTAAGCACTATGTTTATAACAATCTTTATGTTCTTAAAGGATTTTATAAATTTATCAGTCTTAAGTGGTAACTTTAACATGATAAAAAAATCACAGAACATAATAATTGTGATGTTACCTGCAGAGCAGGAAAGAAAGAAGATTCGATCAATGCAGGTTTATGATATCCTAAACGAGGAGCTACATCTCTTGTCATCCGAAAATAAGGATCCTGGAGAATCAATAAACAAAATTCACATAATCAGAAAGAAATATCAAACCCAGACTATATGATTATACCAAAACTGGTATATGCTTCTCAATAAGGTGAACAAAAACCATTGCTAGGAGAAATCATAAAAAGTACTTGATCAATTGCACAAGGTATTAAGCATCGAAGATCATCCTTGCCAGAGAAAAGATGTGGGAATGAACTCGGAAATGAAGGAACTGCCTGCATTAGAGGGGGATGATGATGAAAAAACAAAAAAAAAAGTTTATTATTCCTGCGAATAATTTAGACAATGAAGTAGTAATGCTGTCATAGACATACAGAGTAAGAGAAAAATCATGAAACTATATTAAAGGGGAAATATTCATCTATGACAGCAATATTAGAGAGAATAATCAACAAATGCATGAAATCTGAAACTGGTGAGAAGGATATTCTCTCAATATGCTTCTGTCCCAAAATTGTATGCCATGTGTAAAAAGAAAGGGAAGACTAGAATAAATCTTTTAATTCAATGCACTTTTGCCTGTTGGAGTAAGGTTCAAGTCCATTCAGCTTGAATGTAATGTAACTTGATGAAAGATTTTCTTATTGAAATCCTTGATGGTATGTCAAAAAGGAAAGCTAAGATCCTTTTGAAAAATGTAAACACGATAGTTTTATAGGAGTATATAAGGAGAGGTATAAAAGAATTTTTAAGGATCTCTATAGAGAGCTTTGGCGAGTTGTTTGACTTTGTGGGATTCATAACTTCAACTTGGCATACCATCATTGGAACACTTTGTAATATACTTATGATCTAGCTAAATGGAGTACTTTACATAATCTTCTTTGCCTCTCGACTCTCCATTTTAATACTTCTTTGTTTTTAATAACAGGTTGTTTCTTCCTAAGAAGAGAGACTAGTTAGCTTGAAGTCGATTTGCATAGAATGTGGTTTGCGGGAACAAGACAGAAAAGTTTCATTTTTAGAAGTTAATGATATACACGTCTTTTCCAAAATCTTAAATATATATAGTATATCTATTGAGTGAGAGATACAAGGATAGTGCATGAGCATCAGTGATTCATCTCAAAGAATAGATCAAAATCTATGGGACAAATTATGATCATAAATTGGATCTAAACCCAATCTAATATAAAATTAATGTGATAACACAAAAATGGATTTCAACAAGAATTATTTATTAGTCCCTATAAAAGTTGCAAACTGTACCTGCACTGGTGGAAAACTAACTTTTCCAATATGATCTTCACCAGTAAACCCAAAAATACCCACAACCTAGCAAGATCAAAGTATCAAAATAAGCAAAATAATGATAATAATAATAATGGAAATCTTGATAACAAAAATATCCAAAATGATTAGATTATAAGTCGGTACCTTATTGTATGTAACACATTTGCCAACTTTCACCATGTTTTTATAGAAAGCGCTGTGGAAATAAATCCCAAAATAAACCAAGTTAGGAACTCTAAGCACTTGGATCGTTTTCATCTAACAGCAAATTTATATTTGGAATCGTTAGTCTAAACAGTAGGATCTTCCAACTCAATGACTGTCAGATGTTTCTTCTCTTCTAACGGATAAGTTCACACATATCATACTCACCCACCAACATAATCAAAATCAGCAAAGATAAAGGTTTTCGAAATATCAAAACCACAAGCAATGATGTCCTTCGCATTCTCACGAGCAAGCCTCTGGCTCTCTTCCACAGAGAGATTTTTCCACATACACTTCTCATCGTCAGTGAGTTGTATCACAAGGGGAACCTTAAATGCATCTTGCAAATATCTACAAACAAAAGCATCCAATATTTATATTCAGATTGCGGGGGGGAAAAAAGGCTTCCCAAATCCAAAAGTTTAGTTGAAGCACAATCAATTAAGAAACGTGTCCGTCACACAAAACCCAAATAAATTTTCCTGTCATTTTTTCAAAAAGATGCGAAATTCATACCATTACTCATCCTTTTACAGTTCCCCAGAGTCCATTTCCCCATGAAATGGGCAACAGTGGCAATTAAAACAATGGAGATAAATATGTATAGGCCAAAAATGAAAATAAACAAAAAAAATGCCTAAGCACGCACTATAAGAAACTGAAAACACACTTGGTAAACATAAAGGGAATGAGATGCCCCAAATGCAAAGCTTCAGAAGAAGGTCCTCTTCCCGTATACAAGTAGAATTTCTCTCCCCTCTCGTACGCATTCAAAATTTCTTCGAAGTCCCTGAGAGAACCATATAAGCACAATTACCGCAGTTCCCGACTGCAAAAGGGACTGTAGAAAGAGAGAGAGAGGGAGATAAACCGATGGGCAAAGAAGACGCCACGGCGGAGGAAGACATGAGGAGGACGAGAGGTCAGCCGCTGTACTCGCTCGACGAGAGACTGGTCGAGCCTCTGGCAGCCGAATTTGTCAATTAGCTTGTCGTAGTCGATTTTGCCGCCGTCTTTGCCCGAAACTTGCCATGGATTAACCACTTGATCATCTTCCTCCACAGATTCTTCTACCTTTCTCTCCGCCTCTACCTTCTCCATGTTCCTATTGCTTTACTGCAATCCGCCGTCGTCGTCGCCGCCGCCTCTTCTTTTACAGCGGTTGATCCTTGTGGCCCTAGTAAATTTCCCTCTTCATGCTCCCCGGAAAAGCAAGGGGCGGGCCACTAAACTTGGAAGCTTAGATTCTCCCAATACTGTTTTTATTCTTCCTAAAGACCATATAGAAATTTTCAAAGAAAAAAAAGGACCAT